CCCCAAAACCCCAAAACCCCAAAACCCCATGAGTACATTATAATGGTAATAAAAGTAAGTTTTTATGATTTTATCAATCCAAATAAGTTAATATAGATATAAGTTAAGATTATGTTCATAAGCCCGTGTTTATAATTTTGAATTACCCTTGTTATTCTTGTATTTCAGAAAATAGTTGAAAATCTCTCTACCTTGTATCTCATGTCGATGAAGGTGTGAACTGTTAATCCCTTGATCTTGTAGCTCTTTGAGATTCCCCATGGCTGTTGACCTGGAGTCTCATCGAGTTGCTTCAAAAGAACCTCAACTTACTCATTAGAGTCTACCTTTATTCTGTAACCACCCTCACCACCGATAGTTATATCGGTTGGCTTGGCATTGTCCTAGAATATGAGCTTGTCTAATGTCTCAGTCAAGGTCACTAAGAAGCTTAATCTCTCCTGAACTAACTCCTCAGCAATGTCTAATTTCTTAGCAATTGCTGGGATTCTGTTTACCTTTGCCTTTATTTAGGCAGCATCGTAGTGTAAGAAATGCTTTAGACCCTAACTGGTTGATACTGAATCAGTCAAATCATTCAAGTAATTTTGAACTTGAATTTTCTTGTTCTTAGCATCAACACAGAAAGAGTTGTTCCATCTCTCATATAGACAGTTGTCTACACGGTTCTTCCACTATATATGCTTCTCCAACATTTATTCAATGGTCTCAGTTTTATGGTTTATTGATGATCCTCCCTGTTCTTACTCAACATTGACCTGACCAACCTCATTCAAATCTATTGAGGTTGTTAAGTCCATACAAAACTGATTGGCTTTGTAAAGACTCTTCTTTTATGTTTAGGTGCCTGATTCTGATAGGTTGAATGTAGCCGAGGTGCTCATCAGCTCCTGCTTCACCATCTACGCCTTCTAAGCCCTCATCTCCCTCTTTCTAAGAATTTCCTAGGCCTCCTTGATCCCGCTGCTGGTTATTGGTACAGCTGGTTGTTGACTATCCATGCCATATTCTAGATTTACAATGCCCTCTAAATTTAGACTTCTAACTCTTTCCCTAACCCGGCTGGGAATTACCACCCGTTTAGGACTCTGAGTTCTCTGAGGTTGTAGTAGTATTTTGAATTGCCATTTTTTATTTGAATTTGTTAATTAATTGTTAATTTTTCATCGGAATTCAGCTTAAATATAACTGCTAGCCAATCAAATAGGTTAATTTTATTAGAAATTCACTTTTCTACAGAATTTATAAGAACATTTCATCATCCTTCCCTGTCAGAATATATTCAGATGAACGGGGTTTTGGGGTTTTGGGGTTTTGGGG